GAGCCATATTGAAAGACGATAGATCTGTTTATTGTACGGTTACACTGACTTTGAAGCGCTTTGAATGCCACCGTTGACCTATCGACAGATCATACGTTTTAAACCCCTTCGTAAGAGTCCCCTTATTGTCAAGCGTTAATCTCCTCACAAAATAAAAAGTACAGAAGAAACAATATAACAATACACCGAAGCGGAAGGAAAGGAGGGGGAAAAAAAACATCAAATTACAAAACAAAGCCACTCTATTATTTCATTCTTTCACACCACCGTTTTGCCGTCCACGCTATTGTACTAAAGAGGGGAAGGGTGGTGTTGGCCAGGAAACATATATCAATGATGCTGAAACCTACAACCCTGAGGTCACCACTCAAGGCCATTTATTATTCAAAGTTGAATTCACCCACGGGGAGAATAAGCTCCTTTCGGATTCAAGTCATCACGCTTTTTTTTGTTTTTTGTCTTTCAGATGACTGGTATTCTCCACTAAAACTAATCCAACACCAAATGATCAACAAAGAAGCCATGTTGCGACCAAATCACTCCACCAAGACACGCGCACACACACACGCACACACACAGCTAAGCGAGTCCCCAAAAGATAGATAAAAGAGAATGGGCTCCATCTCTCGTATACGTACACGCACTGAGATCTGAAAAGAGGAAAGCCATGAAAAATGGATGAGAGAAGAAATCCACTTCACCTCCCCAGTGGTGGCTGGCAACCCCACCCCCCGCCTCCCCACCACACACACACACACACACACACACACACGCACACACACAGGAAAAACTGTAGGTGCAGAGCACACTTTGATAGATCTTACTGCTATAGAATTACAGTTCCGAATTTTCTTTTGTATGTTTGAATTGAACGTGTTTTTTGGTGAATGCTGTGAAACAAGCATTCACACTTGGGTTGTAATGTGTTAAAAAAAAACCCAAACAAACATTATTTTACTGTGTTGTGAGATAGCAGCTCCATCGCTCAACAAATAGAAATTCAGTCAAAGGTACGCACGCTTTTAGGAATCACCCGTTTCACCTTGCACGTGCACCGTTTAGTCCTTCGTGAAAAAACAGTTATACAAGCTTACAGATTTTTTTTTTTTCTTGCTGAAATTGCTTTTGTGATCACATAGCTTGCTTCATAGCTGAACCCTTTAAATGCTGTTGACTATGTATGTGTCTGTTGGGATTGTTTGTGGTCGCGTTTGAACTGTGAGCTCTAAGCGCAGCTACCTCGCTGCTAATGGACGGTTATGACAAACCTGCCTGGGGTAGCAGTTTACCACAAGCTGTATTTGTCTTGAATGCATCACTGCAAATTTGATTTTTTTATTGGGAAAAGCAATTGCCGTACAAGCCGCATTTGAGGAGCGAGAGTTTGCACCTGCACAAGTAACTGCTCCAAAAAAGCCACAGTCTCGTTGTACTTCAACGAAAGAGCTAAGTATGTACAGTACTTCAATTTTTACCAGTCTTTTTTTTTGTTTGTTTGTTTACAGTATTGCCACTTGTGTAATGGCCGGACTGTCCACTTATAATAGCAAACTTGGCAAAAGTGAATGTCATTCTTGTGCTGTGTTTCTGTATTTGCTTGACTCCTCGTTTGTTTGCAGGCTACTTCCTGGTTCATAGACAATGTTGGAAAGATGGGACGTGCCATTGGGCTTTTGCAGGGGTGGCTTAAATGCTAAAGTGACTCATCCGGTAAAAAAACAAAACACACACACACACACACACGCACACAAAAAATCCTGTTTGTGGACATTGATTGAAATCCACCCCAACATACGTGGCTTCATTGGCCCGTGCGCCATCACTCTACAAAGCTAAATGGAAATCAGCGTTTTTGTCTTTCGATGTTTGCTGCTCGCTGCGCATTGCTCTGGTGTCAAAATGACTGCTGTGAAAATGGATTTCTCCATATTGCTGCGTTGGAATGCTGGCTCAAAGATATTTCAGGCGGTCCTGGCACACGCCGTTTTGAGGTTACGAACAGTATGCAGCGAACTAGTTTACGCAGTGGCATGAGAATATGTCATCATGTGGCAAAAGAAGGCACGCTCACTTACCACAGAATTGTTTTTTTCTTTTCATTGAATTTTTTTTTTCTTTTCATGGTGTAAAAGTGTTTTTATACAAATATTTACTACTATAACTATGCATTTTGGCACGCTCCGACTTATGGTCACTTTGCCATAGAATCGGTATTGTAATTAGAATAGTGTGGCTGTCATATTCCGCTCTATGTGTGAGATATCGATGGACCAGCCAGGCTACCTTTCAGGTTGCGTTAGCATTAGTTTACGTGTTGCCACCACGGCATTGAACGGACTCCCTTGAGTGCACTAAAACAATCCCTCAATGCATGTTTCAAAACGGGCCTTTCAAAACCGGATGAATGGCCGTATAGCAAATGAATGAAAAGCGATCTGTCCATGACATATTTCAGTGGGAGCCATGAAAGGCACACCCACATTGTTCCTTCAACACTCAAAGCCAGGTGTGACACAACTTAAGGCACTCCAATGCACTTGTGGCTGTGTGTGAAACGTTCCAGTCAAAGCGGCCGCAGCAGGTCAGTCTATCGGCTGCCTCCTTCAAAGGCCTATCGGACCGTCTGGCAGCCAGCCAGTGGGGATGAGACACAAATGTGGTGCTTTGGGGCAGGGAGGGTGCGGGGAGGGGGTGGGGGGGTCTCACATCACCTACGTACCGTGTCAGTTTTTCAGTAAACTGGGAGTGACAAATAGAACAGTTACCTGAGCCCTGAGCAGCTGCGATGTCATTTTCAGTTTGACAGCAAGTGGCAAAGTGGCCGATTCCTGAGATGGCTTAAAACAGGTGCATTTTTCTGCATAATTGGTATTCCACAAAACACGATATTAATATTGTTACCATACTACTTTGGAGGCTCCTACACGGAAACTGAAAACTCAAAGGTACCCGCATAGATCTTTTATTTAGGAGTCTATATGCGAGCGCAATCCCATGCAAAATCCCTTGAGTTATGCCCCTTCTCAAATCACCATTCGCCATCTGTCATCACTTCATGGGTCGCCTCACCTGGCCTTGCTGTCAAGGCAATGCAAATGTCCTAAAAAAAAAATGGATAAAAGTATGGATACTATAAAACAAGAGGTTGATTTTAATGTGCTGCAAATTGCATCGTGACAGATATAAACGTTGTCATTGGGGGATGTGAGTTAAATGTGTGTTGCTCCTTCAGGTCACATTCTGAGGCTTGAATGCGGTTTAGTGCAAACAGAAGAGGGCGCTCTAAAACTGATGCAATCGAGGCTTGGTTTGAGGGGAGGACCTCCGTAAATTGGGGCTGCTTCACTTTTGATAGCAAGTCTTAAATAACAAAAACAACGAGCCAAACAACACGTTTGTAATTATTTCCCATCTTAATAATAATAATAATAATAATAATAATAACCAGGCATTCATAAAGATAGTTCGAATACTTTTTTCATAGATATTTTAGGCATTATCCCAAAGCTGTATTTTGGTTGGTGGTGAGATGGTCATTCTGGAAATTTATAATGGAAAAAAAACGACAACAAACGAACATAGCCATAGCAACGTGTCTGCTGTTATGTCATATCAAAGAAAATAATTTATTGTCAAACAACAATAATCAATGAATGGCACTTTAGCGGCTCTCTCAAATGGAATTCAGCAGCTCTCCAAGCTAACTCTTCAAGACTTTAAAAAATAATTCAAACAGAAAAGCAATCTTAAAAAATATAGAGGGATCTTTTTTTCAATTAAAAATTGTGCGATATCATTCAACACAAAACATTTTTTTTCATAAAACTGGGATATCTTGTAACATTGCAATTTTGTTACTTTTTTTGACTAACATTCAACATTTTTACTTTTTCATGTCATGCTTTTAATGGCAATGCTTTAGTGCAGTCCAATGTGCAGCAAACTGCAATTGGCCCCTGGTCAATTTTTGGGACACAGTTTGTATATAGACCCATGTCCACTGCCTTTTTCTAAAATGACAAAAAATACACAAATATGAAAAATGTTCAAAAATGTCATTCTATGCCGCACTCCCTAATAGACGTCTGTTAAAAATGCCACTTTAGATATGGTCAAAATACATGCAAAATGTGTGCTCTTCATAGATTTTATTTCTCATGATACTTTCTCAATGCATGTACTGTATAAAAGATCCATAATCAAATAATCCAAGAATATAAACTTTGAAGCAAACAACAAAAGAACCACACATTGTAATTTTTTTTTAGCAATTCAAACGTTCTGCCCCCCATTTGTTTTTGGGGAAAATTTATCAAAGGGCCTGCCCTTCAGAGTGTGGTAGCAGGCTGCCTGTTGCACATCCCTGATAGAGACAAAAAAAAAAAAAAAACATTCACACTTGCACCTAAGGACAAATTTTGGTCTTACATTGAACCTAATATGCATGTTTTTGGAATTTAGGAGGAAATCAGAGGTCTCTGAGAAAGATCCACAAAGGCACGGGGAGAACATGCAAACTCCTCAGAGGCAGACCAGAGCATCCAGATGCTATAGCCACCATCTAAAAAAAAAAAGAAAAAGAAAAAGACATCTCTTTATTAGTGTATATAACAAACTATGTGTGCACTGACAGTATGAAATGGTTAAATTATTCCTTTTTTTTATTATTTTTTTTTAGGTTATACATGACACCATGCGCCTCTCAAACACTACTTAGATCCAACAATAAATACTCGAGATGAAACACTTATTTTTGTGCTCAGGAGGCTTAATGGGAAGCTCTTAAAAATTCAAGTTTTTAGGGGGAGGAAGAGTAGGATTGGTGGGCGGTTGGTATGGTGGGGGCGATAGGTGGGGGTCTGGGGGCGCGGTTATTCCCCACTAATGTCCGCCCACTAATCCGGTTGGCTGTCAGGCTACCCCGTGGCCAAGCGCTGAGAGGTTGACGCAGCTGTCACTCAAAGCCGACGTCCTCTCCTCGGGTTTGTGGCTCTGACGGACGTCTCAGTCAGTTCGCCTTGTGGAGACGGCTCAGACGGAGGGGAACGGAGCCCACTCGTGTGAACGTTGTGCGTGGACCATCACCAGAGCACTGCAGCCTGCTCGCCCCGTGCGCACGCGTGTTCCGCCCGGCGCGGTGTGACCGAGTCACGCCTGTGTTTTTTTTTTCTTTTTTGAGCGAGGGGATATTTTTTTTATTTTTATTTTTTTTTAGGCTGCTCTTAGTTGACAGATTTTTTTTTTTTTTTTTTTTTTTTTATTGCATGTCAGGAGGGTCGGAGCTGCTGGTCCCCGGCTCTGCGGCTGTTTGTCTGCGCTCACCGAGCCCCCTCCCTCCTCCTATGGGACTCTAATTAATCGGAGGCATGTGGACTTGGACCAGGATTAGAAATCGCTTCCTAATAGTGTGCCTGCTGTTGACGATATGGGCCAAGGTAAGACGCTTCTCTTCTTCGTTTGGAACAATAAAATATCCTTTTAGCATCGACGCACGCACACCGACGCACACGTCAAATCAACGCTTTTAATCACCCTTGTTCAAAAGTTAGTGGACGCGGTCGGATTTGGAGCTTCTTTGCATCACGTTTAATCGATAATTCAATAACGTAGACGTTATTAGCGGCGCCTCAAAATCACGCCGCCTTTACGTGACTCGCGTCTCAGGGATTAAAGACTTGTTAGCCTTGACCCCTCGCCGACCTTTTATTGCCATTAATCAACGCCCGCGGTTGGTTTTGTTGATGTTTGGGGCCCAAGCGACTTGTAAATTGCACCAATTGGCCGCTGCAGCAAACCAATTTGCACCAAGAACCCCAAAAACGCGCACGGCCCACTTTTTGATTTTTTTTGCCATGCCTCATCATGGAGGATGCACAAGCCATCACACGCGTGACTCATGACCACTTGCACAATATCATGACAATGATCGGTGGTCATGATATTGCTGCTGGCCGCATTTACAGTTAAATATTTGCAATTTAATCACCCTTGTTCAAAAGTTGGTGGACGTGCTCGGATTTGGAGCTTCTTTGCATCACGTTTAATCGATAATTCAATTAAGTAGACGTTATTAGTGGCGCCTCAAAATCTGCCGCCTCTACGTTACTGGCGTGCAGGGCCAGGGATTAATAAAGACTTGTTAGCGTTGACCGCTCGCCGACCTTTTATTGCCATCAATCAACGCCAGCGGTTGGTTTTGGTGTCTGGGGCACAAGCGGACTTGTAAATTGCACCAATTAGCCGCTGCAGCAAACGAATTTGCACCGGGAACCCCAAAACGCGCACGCACCAATTGGCTGCTGCAGCAAACCAACTTGCACCAGAAACCCCAAAGCGCGCATGCCCCACTTTTGATTTTTTTTGCCATGCCTCATCATGGAGGATGCACGAGCCAGCCACCACACGCGTGACTGATGACCACTTGCACAATATCATGACAATGATCGGTGGTCATGATGTTGCAGCTGGGCGCATTTACAGTTAAATATTTGCAATTTGGTTGCAAAAAAAAAAAAATCATTCGGTTATGCATTGTAATTGCACGTTTCATTTTGACGATGTCTATGTATAGATGCAGGGCAATCGGGAATTGCGGGGAAAATGATGTGTTGATTTTACTGGCCGGTCGAACCGCCTGATGTCCGCCAGCCCCCATCGCCGATTAACTTTCGTAGTGTGACGTCCGCCGTACTACAATCCCCCCACGTCGACGATTACAAGTAGGCGCGTGACGGCCGTTCGTGTCTATTTTGTGGTTGGAATTTGCGGTGTTTTGGAAGTGCACTCCACCAAACTGAGGAGCGCGATTTTTTTTTTAACATATTTTCACTGTGATGTAACTCATCAACGCTGCATTCACGTTGCAGGCCCAAATGCCCCATTCCGATTTAATTCTGATTTCAGATTTTTAAAAATATATATATATATTCTGTAAATCAAACGAGCCACACCCTCATGCTTGAATACAATTTAAAGATAGATGGTTTTTTTTTTTCATTTATGTGCGGAATTGTGTCATTTGATCTCTGCAGTGTAAAGCTAGCTTCAAGCAGTCAAAATACTAGAAGCGTGATTTTAGTGTGCACTTCTGCATCACTGCAAACTTCAAACACAATAAACCAATTGCTCACTCGGCTGTGTCAATTCAAAGGCAGCATTATCGTCTGCCTTTTTGAGTGTTAGCTCTCATGTAATTGTGGGCATTTCTGAAACGTTGTTTCCAGGAGTCCCAGTCACCAGGCTATTTCGAGCTGCAGCTGATCTCAGTCGAGAATGTGAATGGCGAGTTGGCGAGCGGGGAGTGCTGCGACGGCTCCAGGAGCTCCCAAAAGTATCTGCGCTGTGTGGAGGATGAGTGTGACACTTACCTCAAGGTGTGCTTCAAGGAGTATCAGTTGGAAATCACCCGGGGGGGCTGCACCTTTGGAGCTAGATCTACGCAAGTTCTCGGTGGAAATATGTTGAACTTTGAACGTGGAACGAACAAAATCGACGACGCTGGCAAGATTGTCTTCCCGTTCCAATTCGCATGGACGGTAAGTCATCGATTTAGCTCCAGTTTAGCCTGCAGGTTAACATGTCTACTTCCTGTCTGCAAAGATGATTCACGATATGGAATGCTTCAAGTTCGTGTCCTTGAATTCGTACTGTCAATGCGCCAGCATTCTTGCACACCGCTACAGCGGCAATTATGAAGATGAAAGTTAATAGTTAATGTGTCATTGAAGAAAACTGGCTTTGCAGTGGCAAGCTTCATGCTCAGAGCAAATGAATGTATTTTTCTCATCGACGGGATTCAAATTCTTTCGGCAGTCTGGCATATCGACGCCACATTTGCCCATAAAGCCGGCTACGAGTTTTTTAAAAATATCAGCGACCCCACACATGATGAGTGGGAAGAAGAAAAAAAAAATCACCTGTGAGGGGCAGCTTTGTGCCACGAGTTATCCAAACTGCGGAAAAATAAAACCTGAACAATGTAGTAGTAGGAATAGCAGTAGTTGTCGTATTAATCGCGGAAGAAGAAATAGTAGTAGCTAAGTTAGCTGTTATCTGATCTGCCAGCAATATTGCAGTTGCCAATTCTCGCGACATGAAGTAACCGAGCATGTGATGTCTTTGATTGGAAGGGGCTAAACATGTTCAATTCAGGGGCAGCTGTATTGATATGTGTGTCAACCACTTTAGATGACTGTTTTGTTTTTTTGGGGCGACCATCAAAAGCGCTCTTGTCGCATGCACAATTACTTTTGCTAAATGCCTTCCAAGAATTCTGTTGCAGTCACGATGCTCGGTAATGTCACCTGGGCTGTCGCTTGGAGAGTGGCCCTGATATACTGTCTGAGGTTTGGCTTGATTCCAGTACGCCACTAAGCACCTGCCAAGGCCAACCCGGGCTAATTGGACGGCGGGTGTATGCTTTAATGTGCAGACCCTGAAGAAGACGCTGCTGGTGCGGCGAATGGCTGCGCTGATATTTTTTACCCTTTCCTTTTGAGCTGGCTTGATTTGGGTTTTAGTTGAACCGCTTTTATGATTCCTCTGCGCACAGCATACCATTTCGCAAACAATTGGAGAATAGCCGGTGTCCTACATTGTGGTTGTCTCACACGGTGCCTTTCTAGTCTGCGTCTTGAGCAACTTCCTGCTGGAGTCTGGTGCGGTCTTCTGTCCTCAGTGCTTTCATGTGCCTCGAGATGATAATATGCTGTGAGTGGGGCTTTGGTTTGGAGTTTCCCCCTCGTGCATCCCACCGCTTCCCCCCCTGCTGTGGGTGCCAGGTGGCCCCTCCGAGGCAATTAAGCGTGTCCCACTATTGAAGGTTGGTCGATGATGATTTGGGCAGGCGAATGAGGTGTGCGTGCTTTAATTATCCCAGTCTGACTTCCCCACTTTTTGTGGCTATCAGGGGACGATGCGCACATCTATGAAGCTACACGGGTCGCTGTTAGGACTTGATGTTTTGATGTCTTTTGTGTTCATAAATCTGCTTTGGTTGGAAAGTACAACCTACTGGCACATTTGGTTCCTTGGAAATGCATTTATTATTCATATTTTGGACTTGGGACGGTGTCAGTCTGTCGAGAGTTTTTCGTGAAGATTAATCAATCAATTAGTTCACACAATTACTGGCAGAATATTGACAGGTTGATTGATTTTGATTGCAGTTCCCAAACCGAAAATGGCAACAAAACCTGTTTAAACATACTCTGGTGCCAAGTGGATATATTTTACAGTGAACAAACCATAAAACTCCAAAGGTTGTTTTGATTTGGGGCAGCGCCTGACACCTCAAGTCAGAGGGGACGAGGTTTATTCTTGGTATGATCTGTGAAGTGGTCCTGGCTGATAGCGCTGCACTATTCCACTGGCAGATGTCACAACAAGCTCGGGAGGGTCATTCATGCGATGTGGCGTTGTCACTTTGCACACCGTGGAAACAAAGATGCAGTGTACCATCGGCCGTGTCATCTGGCTAACAGCCCATTTCACACATTGGGCGCCCGGCTTCCCCTTGTGACATAATCAGGCTTTAGAAGCAAGATAACACTTTTTTTTTTTTTAATTCAAATGATGCCATCTTACAGATGCACTTATTTAGAAATGCGTTTTATTCTCGCGATTCTGCCAACCAATGGCATACTGCTTGTCTTTTGGTACCATGACAACCAGGAACAGATGCACTTTACTCTGATTTTGAATGATGCACGTGGCTTCAGCTGTGGAAGTAAAGCCCCATATGTGGGGGAAAACAAGAAGCGAACACCCCTAGAGATAATACAAGCATTTTCACTTGTGGAGGCAGCACTTCATAAACTTCTATGAGTGTGTGGATTCTGCTATCTGGCACTCATCCAGTCAACACCTCGCCACACTCAACAAAACACCCCCTCCTGCTCCCACTGCGTCGACCACCTCACTAAGCAATCGACTATGTGCTATATATAAGTTAACTCGTGCCAATCTTCTCAGCCAACAAAACTCAATGCAGCTTTGCTTACCCTTTGGCTATGACATGACAGCATTTCAGACATTGTCGGCTGGCTGATGCTTTAAAGTGCCACAACTAGCTGCCAAGTTATGGCCGTAAAAAAAAAAACATTTCCATTACAGGTTCCAAAACTGCCTGGCCTTGCACCGTCTCGGCCTTGCTTGGCCTGGCCTGGCCTGGCCTCTGTTTGCTTCTCCATTACAAACAGGCACCAATCAAATTGGGTGGGATTGGGCTTGGGTCAACTGAACTGTGCAGTTTCCACTGCGCTCACAGTATGCGGGGTTCTGCCGTAAGATTTCACGAGTGGCGAGTCTGGTCTCCGGTTTTGCGGCGCGCTGCATGATGTGGTGAAGTGGCAAATTACAGACTGTCAAATGCACAGAAGCTTTCACACAGACAAGAATCCGTTTCCGGGTTTAAGACAGCAGGAGACAGCTCGCCGCCGCCAAGACATAAAAATACAGTATACAGTACACATATATTGTGTTTTACGGCAATACTTTACCATATTTACAATTTAATATGCGCCGATGGCACTGCAAACCATTTGCGGAGTAGAATTGATACATTGGAGGGCCTTAGGTGTGCGGGTGGTTATTATGCAAGTTAGATGAATTACGACTTTGCAATTCAGCAAAATTCAGAACTGCTTTCTCACAGTCACATTTTCACAAGTAGTTACTCAACCATTTGTATGCGCAATTCTATGTAATTTAATTTTCACTATGTTGCTCTTTAAAGCTGTCAATATAATTAAGTAGCCCACCTTACAGGGTCTGGACGTGACAAATATCTGCTAACGTCAGCCTGCAGTAGTGCATCTCATCTTGCATTTCTGTGAAGAGCTTCTTGTTCCGTGATGAGGTACCATCGCTTTGTTTCGCTGTAGTGACCATCGTGACGCTTTCGCTAATATCCGATTGGACTCAGATTACGTCATGTTTTGGAATGCCTCCGGTTGTTCTCCAGTTCTTCCTTTTTTTATTGCCAGTAAAAAGACATGTGATGAAGGCCCTCGAAGCTTGTGGTTTGGAATTTATTAGGGAAAAGCCATTTGTTTCAAATGTGTTTTTATATTTACTAGAGAGCAGAGGTTAAGTTGTGAAATTTGTTTCCGTTGTTTTATAATCATAGCGCTAATTTTATCATTTGTTTTTAACTTGGTGTCTTCTGCCCCTTAGTCGCTGTTCAATCAGCACAATGGGCGTGGCTTATATTAATGATCCTTTGGGCCATGCGTGATTGAACCGTCTGAATTCTGCCTAGCAACAAGTGGTCCGCCAAATGTTTGGTGTGCCATCCTGCTAAAATGGATTCCATCCATTTTCCATAACACTTGCACATGTTCTGGTTGCAAGTGAGATATATGGAGCCTTTGCTTGTGTGTTCCTTCATGCTTGTTTGAAGTCAATTTCACCCTAGGATGCCTTTGTTGTTTCGCCATCTCTCCCCCAGAAGTTGAGATTTTCCTTTGAACGTCAAATTCGTTGTACTAAGTGGAGGAATTCAGGTTGGTAAATCTTTCAAAATGTTTTTTCTTTCTCGGCGGCTGCCTGTATTGATCTTGCGTTATAGGGCTGACAATGGCAGGGTGGATTTTTTTTGGCGGATGTCAGCATTTCATGAACAACATATTGGACTTTCGCTTAGCAACTTTATTCAGTGCAGATAAATCTTCTTTTTTTTCCCCTCCACAACAAAAAAAGACAATGCTGGCATGAAATATTGTCACTGACAACATCAGAGGGTTTTTTAAAAGGGCAGTTACCCCATGATGACAGGGTGGACAGCAATTATAGGGACATGTGCAAAACCTGTTTTATGTGATTATTAAAATAAAATACACATGATAAAATTCACTCATTTTATTAAGTAACATGCCATTGGAAAGTGGTAACAAAAGGAACTACATGAAAGCTTTTAGACATGGTATGGATTTTGCACCTCTGTGTAGATTGTCAATCAAGCAGCCGGTCGGTCGGCCAACAGGATGTTCAGGCCGCATTTGGGCTGTCTGCATCCTCACTTTAAAGAACCTTCTGGATGTGGAGCTTACTTTTCATCTTGCATTTTTTTAACCTGGATGAAAACTTTTGATTCACGAACGTGACCGTGTCAAAAGAGGAAGCCTTCGCCCGACGTGTATTAAAACCATGTGCTAATCTGCACAGACCTGTGTGAGACTGCCTTTACTGGAGTCAACCCAAACTATTTGAATGGGTTTGGCTCCCTCCTCGAGCCACGTGTCCGTCAAATGCATGCGGCGTGCACTTTCAAGCAGATGCAGTCAAGTGCAGCCAGCCGTGCGTGTGGTTTTTAAAGTGGGATCTGTGGAAAACACAGAGTAAACTTTTGACTACTTGCTGAAATTCGGCTGTCAACGTTAGACTCCTCTTAACTGTTTTCTATGATTCACACAAAGTATCTTCCGGCCTGTCACCTGAACAAATCTGCAGCCACCATGAAATGGTGGGTCCAATTGTTGGGCGTTTTCGATTTTTTTTTTTACAACACGCTGTGTTGTTGTATTCCTCACTTTTG